ATTTGTTATTGCCAGTGTTTTTGATTCGTGCCAGTAATGCTGGGGTGAGATGGTATCTCATTGTGGTTTTAATTTGCATTTCTCTAATGGCTAGTGATTGCGAGCAGTTCCTCATGTGTCTGTTGGCCATTTGAATGTAACTTCTTCCTACTTTTGAATAGCTCCAGGGTTCTACTGAATTCACCAAAATGGAATCAGCTCTGTTAAGCATACATAGTTCTTGGGAACATTAATATAAATCTCAAAGCTCCCAACTGGGATTCCATTTAAAGGGAAGAATGAAATAGCACCAATATAGTATTTCCATCTAAGACAAGACCATGCATATTCAGGTGAAGGCAGATTGCTGACTCTGTAGAATATGGCACAGATTCATCACCTCACTTTTGCTCTCAACTGATTTGTGATTTGCACTTTGATGTGTATCTAAATGTTGAAGTGAAATAAAACATCTACCAAAAAAAAAAAAAAAAGCACCAAACCTGTTGCCATGATTCCAACTCATAGCAACCCTACAGGACAGAGTCGAACTGCCCCATAGGGTTCCAAGGAGCAGCTGGTGGATTAGAGTTGCTGACCTTTTGGTTAGCAGCCAAACACTTAACCACTGTGGCACCAGGGCTCCAAAACATCTACAGATAAGCTAAATAAGTCCCCCTCGTGAAATCAGGATAAGATTTTCTAATGTAAATAGAAAAATCTCAGTACTTTACTTCAAAAATTAATGTTTCAAAAATTAATAAATTTAGGTGGGCCTAAGTATGACATGCTGCTTAGTGCATAATTCCTTAATCCTTGCCAGGAGTTCTTTAGCTAGGCTAGTGATTAGGCTTTAAAACAATCATTATTTTCTTTGATAAGAAAAATTACACGTCTCCAAGAGAAAGGTATGAAGTGGAAATGTGTTCAAAGTTCAGTTGCACAAAATATACACATTAAGCCAAATGACTTTTGAATACTTGGAATCTTTCTGGAACAATTTTTTTGCCAATAAACTGACTTTTTATATGCCTACTTAATCTTGTTTTTTCCAAGTAAAAACTTACTTACCACTTTGCTGTTTGGGAAGTTATCCCTACATACTGTGGCACTCAACACACTTTTTTAAGACTAAAGGAAAATCTGTGGGTGGATGTTCCTCAGTTTTCAGTGTTTCTTTTTATGTTCTAGAGAAATTATTTTCCCTTGCTTTCCTAATTTTAAGTGTACATTCTAGCAACTCAGTGATTCTTGTATAGTTACTGAATTATCACCAACACGTTTGGTATGAAGTTTTTCACAGATAATGATAAACCTACTCTGTGCCAGGCATTGTTGTAGGATTTTACAGCATCGGCACATTCAATCCTGATAATACCCTCACTATTATGCCTGTTTTACAGAGGAATCACAGAGGCAAGAGAGGTTACACAACTTGCCCAAGAGGTCAGCTGGTAATAGCCTAGTCAGGGCTCTTAGCTGCAAACCCCTCTTGGAGGAAAAGAAGGGCCTCTGTGATCCAGGAAATTTTATCTGGATCTTAAATACCTTATCTTTAAGACTTTATTTCATATGAAAGTTCATCAGCTATTCTTACTAGACTAGCCTTAGGTTCTTTTAAGGAGCCCTGGCGGTGC